AAGCAGATGTGATAACCGCTACACCAACAGAACCACATTTTATCTAGTGGATTTTAATAAGCTGACTCTGATGAGTTGAATTCAAATAAAAATAGTGCAAACTTCAGAAAAGGGATGATGGTGATTTAATTTGCGAAAGAAGAATATCTTTTCTGACAGAATGCAACAAAAATGCGCTGCCCTGGTATGAAAGCACAAAATTTTTCACCGCCTGTTGAAGATATGGTGTAGATGTGGTTCGTGGGATAGATATCAATCATTTCTTCACACTCACACCCACCCTACCCTCTGCGTGCTCACCTTAATCAGGTATTCATCTGGTTAATACATATATATCTAAATCGTCTTAATTAATTAATAAGTCATTGAAAAGTAACTCGTTTATAGATATATGTCGAATCGATTTGGGTGTATACTAAGTACGATTGAGGTATCGAATACGATCATCAAGAATTTTCAAAAATAATTTCAATTTACAAAAAATAATTCATTATTGCATACATGTCTATTCAGTTTGAACATAATTTTCTTGTTTAAAACCAAATTAATCGTATTGAGTTAATCTATTATAAATCGATTTAATGACAATAACCAAAAAACACACACTATATGAAAACTAACTCGATATTACTAAAACTTACTTCGAGTAGCTTTAAATATCCATCATAATTAAGGAAAATAACAAAGAATTTCGAGAGATTTCAATATAAATCGAAGCATCGATCAATGAAAACGAAAATTTTTATTGAAAATACTCGCATTCGATTAACTAATATAAAATACAATTCAATATCATTCTTAGAAAAAATATTAATAAACAACAATAATAATATCAATTTATCATTTTTTTTCTTTATGATTGATTGAAAATAAAAATCTGAATATGAAAATTAATGGAATATTTTAATAACAATTTTTTCGAAAAAAATTCAAAGAAAATGAATAAGTTTTGTCTAAACTGATTGTATTGTATTAATTATCAATCAAATTGTATAAATAATCGAACAGTCTTAGTGAAAAGAAGTATTCACAATAAAATGAAAAATTTTCTTCATCAACCATTTGTTTATCGACGAAATAAATCCACATACGATTAATAGACTGCTTTTAGACTGTAAACATTTTCATTTCTTAACACATTAGTCAAACATCAACTGTACAAAAAGTAATAATTTTTAAAGTTTCTGTTGTATTATATTTGTTTTTATACTAACTATCGAAAAATGAATCTATTTCGGAGTGATTAGATTAATTACACCTGATGATGAAATTCATGAAGGATAAATATGTCTTCGATAATCGATCAGTTCACAAGTAAAAATTGTTCTATCGTTTAGAGAGAACTATTTTGTCATTGTTTATCTAAGGTTAAAAATATCATTGACATTGTTGAATAAATACAAATGAGTTATTGTTTTTTAAATATAATTGCAAATCATCATCTTTTCTTCATCAATCTCGTCAATAAAATCAATAGTGAAAAGACATTAAGACTCTCTAATACTGAAGAAGTGAAGAATCTTTTTTAGTTTAACTAGAATAACTTTATGTAAATCTGATGCTAGTTCAATAATTTTCTCTATATAGCAAGTCAATGGGTTCATTATGTTTCTATTCAATGGTTTATATTTATATATTTTTTTCTGTACTTTTAATCCAGGTTTGTAACATTGATGAATAAAAGAAAATTTTGCCAAATTATCGTTTTCGTTTTTTTTGGCTTCCAATACACGAACAAAAAGAAATTATTTCTTATACTTTTTCGTCATTGAAATTTTTTTCAAATAAAATCTAACGTTGTTTCTTTTTTAATAATAAACATTCGATATCGAGTCGAATTTATATTTGTTTTGGTGATTATAATAAATGTCATCGTCAAAAAGAAATCAATATAACTCTTGTCAAGAAGATCTATCTATGAATTATTTAAAAGAAGATGATGATGATGAAAATAAAAATCACTGAATATGCTTATCAGATGAGATTCGTCAAGTATCTGATCGACTTAATCAATTTCATATAAATGAATCAAAATTTTAAAAAAGATTTAAAGGAATGGAGAAATGAAGCTCATGATACGATTGACAAATTTTACAAATCAAAGCATTATGAATATATAAGAACAGCAAAAGACATATTACATTCATTAACTAGCGATCATGATGCTTCACAAAATTATTTGAATTAGGCTAAATATGCAATTCAATCAATTCATCAACAAATTGACGAATTCGAGCAAGTTAAATCAATATTTTCTCCATTAAAAATTGGTAATTATTTAATTAATGATCCAAGTCGAATATCTGATTTAACATTTCATTCATCTCTAGTAAAAAAAACTTTTTTCTGATTTATCATCATTTTCAACATCGCATTTTCATACAAATCAATCAGACGAAAATTCTTTTGTAGATTTCAAAGCTCCAAAACATATGATTAAACTTCAGTCTGATAATTGGTATTCTTTATCAACGAATCAACCATCCTTAATAGTTTCAGAAAAATCATATTTATTTTTAATTGATCAAACTTTAACAATTATGGAGAAAAAATTCATTTCTACAAATTGGAATCAAAAATATTTGTTGGTCAAATATACTTTCACGATTTATTCTAATATCATCAAAAAATATTTATACTCTTGATGATAAACTCATTGCATTAGAATTATCTTCGATTAATTCTATTAAGAATTATTCATGGGAACATGAAACTTGTTTGGATACAACTTTATTTATTTCAACATTTAGTGAAAATCCTTTTATTATTGAATATACTATTTTCCAATCAATACATTTAAATAAATGATGACCATCATTAATAATGTGCAAAGAAAATGAAGTTATAAGTGATATGAAATCAAATGAAAATAATCTTGGATTAATAATTAATAACGACAATAATAATGAAAATCGTCTTGAAGTTCGTTCAATAAAATCTTTTGAATTAATTTGGTCGATTCATCTTGATAAAGAATGGTCTTATAGATGTTCACCTTTAAATGATAATCATTGGATTTTTGTTGATTCTTATAATAATAGATTTATTCAAATATTTGATCATGCTCCTATTGATCAAATTATTAATTATCCAACAAAACCATTTAATGTTGTTTCTTGGAGTCTAAATCAATTTGTTATAAGAACTGCTGAACATCTTAACATTCACAAGTGCAAATAAATTTCTAAAATAACTTGACGCAAGAAAAATCTAAATTAATTTTTATTTAATTATTATAAAAAAAAAATAGAATCATAACATAAGATTTCATTCGATACAAGAGAATATCAAATAAGAACTAAAATAATCAAATAAATGAATTTTTCTAATCTTGACAAGTATTTCATTTCATTTGAAATGCATCTTTAGATTTTCTTCTTTCATATGTGCTAGCTTTTCACTATTAGATACATCCGATCAATCCTAATCATTGTTTATTTCATCAAGATAACATAGTGAGCGTTATCGCTAAAGTTTAAACTTGTGACAAGTAAGAGAGAGAATGATTATAATACTGGGCATCTATGTACATTAAAGGCACCTAATCGAATAATAGAATGATATATACAATAGCGTTTTATCATGAACATCTTGTTTTACTGAACGAAGATGTTCTATGAAAATATATTTCGAAGACATAAATGGATTTGTCTTCGTTATAGAACTGATAATGTTTGACAGTTTCAATTGTTCGAAATTTGATCTAGAAAAATGTGAGATATATTGTGTAATGTTGAGCTTGTGTCTAACTGTTATATTATTTCGATTTCTTGATACTATTCAGTCAATCGTTCGACAATTACATAAATCGAAATCTCAAATAATATTTGTAGTGTTGATCATTATCAAGTTTGAGCGACTTTAATTCTGATATATCATTCGTTCAACATAATATTTGAGCTGATTACTCTCGTCAATATAAAGAAGAATTCCATCGAGCAATTTATTGGATTTAACTTTTCTGTTTTAGATGTGAATATTAATGAAGCTGTTCGTATTGTAAAAGAATGAATTAATCATTATATTCTTCGAATTATGGATTACTATATACCTTTAATACATGTCGATGATGAAAGATATTAATCGAAATCTATTCCAGTGAGTTTTAAACAAAAGTAAAGGATAGTTGTGAAGGTGTCTGTGAGATAGAAAGTCTAAATTTCTCTCGTTATAAACTTCAAAACTTGTTTTAGATTATATTTTGACAAAATTTTTAATTTCAGCTAAATCTCAATTAAATTTCTGTGAAATAAATGAATCGTAATGAATCAAAGTTTTCATATGAAGAATCTTTTCGAATAGTTGTAGCTAATTTATTGTTTAGCTCGTTGTTATAGAACTGAATAATGCTCATTTACAAGAAAATTCAATAGATAGTTAAACATTCATCGATGATTTATAAATTAGAAAAAAATTGAAACAAGCAAAAAACAAGGATAGATTAAGTCTTTCAATATTTTCCTTCTCATTTTAGAGCCTTTTTCGTTTCTAATACTTCGTTTCGATTAAACAAG